GTATTATAATTAAAATATACTTATAAACGTTTTTATCTTTTAACTGTTATTGTAACAAATTATAATTATATAATTATACATAAAATTGTTATATACGATTTGTGGAATTCTTTGTGAACTTTATACAGTACAAAATAGTAAAATATAGGATATATTAAGAAAATAAGTAAAAATGAATATATGATTGAGTTATGATTTCACTATTAACATATTTAATATATGTTTAACATATTTAATATATGTTTCTTCATATTCATATTTTTTCTATTTTCATAGCTTTCGCTACAGCTTTTTGGAAGGAAATGCCTTTTTTTTATTCATATGACCTATTTTTCTTCTTTACTGTGGCACTGAGATAAAATTGAATAATTTATTCACTTACAGGCGTATGTAATGCCTTATCCGGGCGATTGCAGTATGTATCAACAATGCGATGTAAGTGGTTGTTTTGTGATGCGTTGTGGTATAGGAACAGAATTTAATCCAGCTATAGGTACCTGTGATTATCCCCTGAGAGACCGTACGGGATGTAATAATCGTGGATGAGAATTATTTAGTTCACAAGAAGTTATTGTAAAGATACAGAATTATTTTTAAATATTTCATTCCTGTTTAAACGATCGATACTTGTCATATTGTGTAAATAAAATTATAATATTAATTTAAATTATATTTATTCTATTTATTATTAAAACTCTATGCTATTATTGCAATAAGTAACTCATTTATAGCTAATAAAAATAATAAGATTACAAATTAAAGAATTGTTAATTTATTATGAATTATTTTTGTACGTAGATTGCAATACGGCGAACTGCAGAAATTGTAATTTTGTGATCAAGTGTGACTATTGTACAAATATAGCGGTAAACCAACATTATCGCTCATATAATAATAAGTACGTTTATCGATACGATCGAAGAACAGTGGTAATAAGCAACAATCAAACAATAATTAATATTTGACGAATGAACGCGAAAAAATATTACAGCGATATGGATATGACCTTTGTATGCAGATAACCGATTTTTCATAATTTCATATAAACTCATCCACGACAAAATTGAACGCAGTTTCTGCGGTAATGATCAACATTGAAAAAACTCCTACTGAATTGCGCACGCCAATCCAGTGAACACCTTTTCGTAACATTTACGTAGTTACTACGGAATGATGTTTCACTGTTCTATATAGTTGTGTCATTTTCAGATCAAAATGTCAGCATATTTTAATTATATTTCGCGCTACAAAATCGAACAAAGAGAGGAACATATTTTCGTAACATTTACATTTACATGTAAATAACGTAACATTATCATAATTACGTAACATTTAATTTTCAGACAACGAAAATTTATGTTATTTAAATTACGTAAATGCTACGTTTACTATGCATCAAAACAGTGACAATACGGTCATATGTAATACTTTTTACGCAATGATATATCTACTACGTCTTTGGTTTGTTGTGCTGTTCTGTAACAATTACATATACTATGTAAATGTTCTGAAATTATGCACAGAGTGTTTACTAGGAACCCAACCTACAATAAATATCACAATTTTACAATGTGTTCTTGTAATTTTACCTGAATAGCTTTTCAAAATAATGTAAAAATATCATTCCGTTCGCTGACCTAATTGCCTCTGCCATATTATTGTTATCTTATCACTGAGTGAAGTTAATAAAAGTGTTTTTTTTATGTTAGTTAAAGTGTTTTATGTGTTGTGTTATAAAATATGCAAACAATGTTATATTTACTTTTAAAA